CTCTCTCTCTCTCTCTCTCTCTCTCTCTCTCTCTCTCTCTCTCTCTCTCTCTCTCTCTCTCTCTCTTTCACACACACACACACACACACACACACCAACAGCACAGCCAACAAACGAACATAATTGAAATCATAAGCCACAAAAAGATATTGCAGAGCAGGTGAAGTTTATCGGAACTTCATCCAGATTCATCACATAGATATACAAAAGCCTACAAAAATTCTTCAAAACTCCTCAGAATGCGTCTGTAACAAAGAGTTGAGACTTCCATAAAATTTCCACATGGGCAAGAGAATTTGCAGAAGCGGATCGTCAACAAGACAATGCCTTTATAAAACAAAAAAAAAGGAGAAAAAGAGAGAGAGAGAGAGAGAGAGAGACCAAACCCAAGTGAATATATATTTATTATATTACCACCATGCCGTTGCTAAGCTGAGATTTATTTCTACATACCAACTATTGCCTATTCAGTGATCAATACTTGACTCCCCCAACAAGTCATGAAAGTCTAACCCAAGTCTATGTTAGGTTACCCTACTACCGGCGCACCCGGGCCACCCTATCGCGCCCGGAATGACACCCAGGCCGCAAGGTGGAAGATCTGAGCGCCAAGGCCAAAACGCCCTTGAATTGACCACCCGTGCTGCCTGGGGCCGCTGGCAAGGTCCCGCACGGCAAAAAGACGATGCCAATTTTTTTAAACAGCACGGTAGCACCTGTTTTTTTTTTGTTTGGTTCTAGCATCAATCTGGACCAACCATGTGGACGAACCCAGATTCGAACTCGAATCAGGGGAAAGTTGGTGTGTCAACGCACCGTCTCCCTTCCCAACCTCCCCTGTCATGGTCATCACCATCAACGTCCTCACCCCTCGCACCATCTCATCATTGCCACGCTCCCTCCTGGCTACTGCATCGCCAGAGTCACCACCATCCTCAGTGAGTTCTTCTTCTCTCTTCTTCTTTCTTCTCAGTCTTCTTCTTCATATTTATTATTATTATCATCATTATTATTTTATTATATTGTCGCCATCTCCCTCTCTCCCTCCTTGCACCATCTCCCTCTCCCTCCCTTCGTGTCATCTCCGTCCCTCTCTCCTCATGCCATCTTGCACCATCTCCCTCCCTCTCCCCTCATGACATCTTGCGCCCTCTCCCCTGGTGCCATTTCCCACCTTCTCCGTTCACGCCATCTCCCTCCCTCTCCCCTCGCGTCATCTCACTGGAGTTTGCTGCAACCCCCCCCCGCTCCCCCTGCCCCTCACACACACCAACATGCAGTTAAGAAAACAGAAGGCACTGGATTGGCACAGTTATGGGTGGGTGCTGCAATGCTCCACCGCAGAAGAAGAAATTAGAAAAACGTTGGGTAGACTTTTACCACACCCGGGGCACCCCAGGCGTCACCCTACCCCAGGCGCCATGCACAGACGCCAGGCTGGGCGCCCCCCGGTTTCCTAGTCCCCACTCCTATAGAAAGAAAAGGACAAGTTTTTTTTTAAGTGAAAATTTTCTTTTTTTAGCGACGAAAACAAAATAGAAACCCCTAGCAAACCTCCATAATCGCATTTTCCTGATGGGATTATTACACTCCAACAAGGTAACTCTGCGCCCGATGCGAGCGTAGTTCTTTTGTAATCTTGGTCGTCGGAGCAGGGGAAAGTTCATTACGATCCAAGGATTCCCACAGAAAGTTCAAGTTCCTCCTCACGCACAATTGGCCAATCATTGCAGGGCTCCTCGTATCTGTGTTTCCGCAATCTTCCGCAATCTAGACTTCGACAAGCACACCAGTCGCTGAACAGGGCAACATGAAGTATTGCACCCTGATGTGGCTTGCTTATCAGTATTCCTGATCGGCCCTGATCTGCTACAAGGTGCTGCCGGTGGACCCTCCTTTTTGCTCGCCCCCCCCCCCCCCCCCCCCCCCCCCCCCCCCCCCTTCCCCCCTCTCCCCCCCCCCCCCCCCCCCCCCCCCAAAAAAAAAAA